GTAAAACATTTGAATTTTTTACACCTGTAAAACTTTCTTACAAACAATATTTGTATTAAATAAATTCCTAGTTAAAACGTGGAAACTGACGCCTTGTCTAGCGTAATTTCCGCGCGGATACGGAAAATTACGGCCGAGTGTCTGAGCTGCAGCTGACGGCATTTTAGCTAAAAATAGTGATGAGGAACTTCTTTTCGGTAATAGCAAAAGCTGCGTAGACTGTGTTAAGGCTTTGCTTTGGTGAACCTAAGCATTCTTTCAACGTGAGTTGTAAGTACGAAAGACAAAATTAAGAGAGGATCTGAAGGGGGGGGGGGGNTACACAGGAAAATTGTCCAAAAAAAAAAAATGCGTACCGTGTGGCACTAAATTTTTGCGGGAGTTTTTGCGAATCGACGATTGTTTTTGTATTTTACAGGAACTAATTTTTGCGATTGTAAAGGACTGGCTTTGCTTTCTGGATATTAATTTTTGCGATTTTCGGGCAGTCACGTTTAATAACTGAAATTAAAACAATTGAAAGTAAAACAACATGTAGAGATAAAAAACACAGTAATCCAGTGATCAGTGTCACTTTATCACAATTTCATTGTGCTTTTGTGTGGCTGATGGCAGCAACAAGATTCTACTTGTGATGTTCGTATGTATAATTTCGCCAGTGGAGTAAATTTTTGTGGAGAAAATGTTTGCGAGATTATCTTTTGCCGAAACTTCTTTTTTTCTGCAGATCGTGGGAAAAGCCGCAAAATCGCAAAAATTAGAACCCGCAAAAATTTAGTGCCATACGGTATAATATATCAAAAGATCACATTCTCTGAACGTTGTCACTTCTGCAATCCCTCTCCCCCCAACTCTTTCCTTGAGTCTGCCGCTACTTTTTACGCATATTGCTCTTTCGCCATCAAAACATTTTACAATGTGGCAATAATAAACGGGTGCACACAACCTTGTGGGATGGAATCAAAGATTTCTGACTTCGATGATGCTTGAGCCAGTAAGATAAAACAAAGTACAGGAACTCGGATTAAGTTAATAACCTGTTCCTGTTGATATATTTTCTGGGTCTAGCCTCATTGCAATAAAATTCTAATCATCTTCTAATCTTTCCTTGACATATCCAGTTCCGCGTTCCTTTGTGAGAATCCGATAATTCCAATCTAGTTTCTATGTCGCAAAATGACTTGCACATCATAGTTTGAAATTTACAGGTTAGTCCAACGCAAATATTGATAAGCACTAGTCCTGACTGTTCTTCAATCAGTTTGCGTGACGACTGTGACAAGTTGGTGGTCTCCCTCGAGCGCCTGCGTAACGCAGTGCTTCTCCGGGCGTTGTGTTACGATTCGGATAACGGCTGCGGTGGGAACTGGGAGGAAGACTAACTGGCTTTCCTTTAGGACGATTAGCTTGTCTTACTTTACTCTGTATCACCACTAAGCAGTTATGATGTCCCTTAACATGCCGTTTACGCTTAAGACAGGTCATGGCTGCTGTTCTTCCGCGAGGTTTTCTTCCCTCTTCAAAGTACGCCATAGACGTTCATAATCATCAACGGAACAAGCGACAACTTGCTCGCTGAAGATGTGTGTCTTCCTGTACCTAGAGAGAGAGAAGGTAAAAAAACTTGGTTTTCTTGTGGTTATGACTGATTAGTCCTCGTCAGGAGAAAGCCCCACCCCATCCACCCACCCTGCTATCCCCCGTGCTCAGAGTGCTGAAAATGACAAAATTCACTATTTAACGTGATGTCAGTGAAAAATGTCTTGTTACACCAAACAATTCAGGAAATTGATTTTCTTTTCCAAATTTCATTCTGGTGGACGCGATTTACACATACACATTTATCGCAATCCCGATCACGATGATCGCGTACGAGTCCAATTACCCTCGAGTCATGTCACGAGGACAAGCACGTTCACGGCGACTTGATGCCACGTTAGATTCCCGGAGGGTACTCCCCAACGTTTTTTTTTGGGGGGGGGGGTGTGCGGCCCGAACCTTGAAACCAGTACCCTATTTCAGATCAAAATCTGAGATTTTCCATACCCTATTTCAGACTTGAGAGAAAAATTGAGACCGCATTTCAGACTTCTAAAATTATTACACTGCTCTAATATATGACCGCAGCTAACCAGAATTGGCTTCCATTTGCGTGACCACCTGAAAAGGGTGACAAATTTGCCAACGTTAATGTAAAAATTAATACCCTAAACGTAATACCCAATGCCAAGTCAGAGGGATAATCATACCTTTTTTCATACCAAAACCTAATTTTGTTCCCAGGGCTTTTCTTTTAGAGATAAAGAGAAAAGCCCTGGGAACGAGGTTGACTAAAACCGTTCAAACCTCACACCCTTTAGGGTCGCACACACCTACATAGCCTTTTCAAGGGGGTTAGAGTAGCGAGCATAGCTTTCCTTACATGTCACAGTAGTGTTGACAAAAACCACCCTCCACTCTCCCTCGCCCAGAGCATTTCTGGAACTTATTTGAACTTCGTATTCTGTTCCCTTCTCCAGACTTCCAAGACTTGTGGTTTGTTGTGAGGTCGAAAGGGATTCTGATTGTACTGTTTCCTCTCCCCGCTGGAGTCTAATCATGTAGCCTGTCACGGCACTTCCACCATCCTTGCGTGACGCTTCCCATGTAACGTCAATCCTGTCACAAGTCGGAAACACTTGAACGTTGTTTGGAGGCTCGGGCGGGCCTGGAACAAAGAACACAGCGATTTCAAGATCCTTCGCTTTTTGAGTCCAACCCTTTCCAAACTTCATCATACCCTTGGGGTAGTATCGTTTAGGGACGGTACATTTCTTTGTTATTTTAATATAATCACATGAGTGCTTAAAAAAGAGAGATCTTTGCACCCTCACACGAGAAAAAAAAAGTAATTAATGTAAAAGCACTTGTTAGAGGACCAGTAAACTTAGAAAAAAAGTAAACCTAGAGTAAAATTTGCAAAAATGTCGACAGGTTTTAAATCTCTTCCTTCGGCCCGGGCCCATTTCAGGCTTTCAATTAGACGGGGAGTCTTTGAACACAAGTGAAGAACGACCATTGAGGAGAGATTTCCCTTTTTCTCTTGCTCCAGACCCCTCAGAAGACCATCCGTGCTCATACACACCTTAAACTCAGAAAAAAGAAAAAACTTGAAAGTAAACCACAACATGTTTAATTTACCTCTTTCGTATACCTCCATGTAGTATGTCTCACTTCCTCTGCTATTTGTAGCAACACACGAGTAAAATCCAAAATCACCTTGACTTCTCACGCGAAACTTGTATGAAGCAAAACCTGCTCCGCTAGTGACGTCACTAGTGTTCAGTTCAATACTATCTTTTTGGAATTTTATTTCCGGTGTTGGAAAACCGTCAAATTCGCAAGTAAGCGTGACATCTTCACCACTGTCTGGAGATGAAAATGT